CAGACATGAAACTGAACAGCAGAGGACTATATTCAAGCCTTGACATCAAATAAAATGTACCCAGCTGAGTTTTGCATACTCTTTAATACTCTTGATATGCTTTTAATTGGAATGTCTACCTTATGCCTGTTCTTCCACCATTATACTTTGGAAATAGATCCTTTTCAATCTGAAATTTCAAAGATCTACAGGTGGAGAGGAATTTTGCCTTAGGTGTGTGATAGCAAATGTTTCCCATAGCTGGGTTAGATGGTATTTTGCATTTAGTGTTTTTGCTGGGATGAGGTGAACATACTTTACATGTGGAGATGAATTTTGGGAGGCTGGGGTCATTGTCTGAACCATTTCTGCCCCTACCCCAAAATATGTCATTCTAATCCCAGTGCTAAAGGATATGACCCTTTGGGGAATTATCACCTAAGTCTTCCCAGAGTTGTGTGGATCTTCCTCCTCATTCTTTCTGAGGGATGTCATCTAAAACAGAGAGTTGCACAGGGAAAACTGCCATGGGAGGATCCATTTCCAGGCAAGGAGTCAAGAACCGCTTTTGACTCTAGCTCCTGGCCTGAGAACTATAATTTTTCTCATGGCAGTTTTTATTCCTGGGAACCAAAAGGCAGCTGGATTGGCACTGAATCTACTTTTAATGTCTTCTTATAACTGATAGAAAGCTAAAAGCTACAACTCCCCGATTCCCCTGATGCATGCACACACACACACACACAAAACTATGCAAGCACTGGTGATTTGGGGGAAAGGAATTGAGCTGTCAATCCAGACTCACAGAATTTTCCAGTTGCTCCACAGGAAGAGAAAGGTAAGTAATCTCCTCCCCTGCAATTTACTGCCTCTGAAAAGCTACAGGACTCAGCTGAGTTGGTTTCGCCTGTTATGTGCCGTCGTTTGCGACTCATAGCGGCCCTAGGTACAACAGCCCTAAACCCTGCTCTATCCTGTGCCAATCGCATTGCCTTTGACACACCCATCCCGATTACCCCAGTCACTGAACCAATCCACCTCATAAGGTCTTTCCCTCCTGCACTGTCCCTCCACCCTCCCAAGCATGATGTCCCTCTCCAAGGACCTGTCCCTCCTTACAACATGTCCAAAGTATGTC